CCCCCCAACGCCCACCCCAAAAAGTGCACCCTAAAAGCGTTCCCTCCCACAGGTGACTCTACTTCTCTGTGTCCTCAAGCTCCTGAGAGGTACATGCAAGGAGGGGACGTCTGCCCCTGGAGAGGTGGGTGGCACTTCTAGCAGGCTCTTCCCAAGGAAACATTCTCTCTGAGTTCCCAGCCGTTCTCTCTGTGGATCCACTCCTTTTATTGGCTGGGGAGGAGGGAGCTGGGTTAATGATTTCATAGCTCCCTTTCAGGCATTTCCCTCCCAAATTCTGACAGTGGGGTGGGGGAGGGTATCTCCTGGTGCTTCGTGAGAGAAGTTTCCTCTTGGGGCCCTGGCCAGAACTGAGACAAAAAGCGTCCTATGTTAACAACCTGTTTTGTGAATGGTGGCCAGAGTGTCATGAAGCCCCCGGCTTAGAGGAGGAGGAAGAAGAAACAGACACTGTGGTTCCAAAAGGAAAGTCCCCCTTGGGTGGGGACAGGGGAGGAGGCCAGAAGCAGAGCCCTGGGTGCAGTTGTTGGGGAGGGGAGACACTGGACACTCCACCAGGGCCTGTATGGGGGTGCACATGTGACCCCACTGCCTGCAACAGCAGCGCGGCCTGTGGGGCTCTGGGGGTGCTCAGAGAGGCAGGGTCACACCCTTGGTTGGGCTGCCTTCCACTTCCTGTGGGGACCCTGCAGCTTTCAGGGGTCAGGAGCTCTGGGGTAGGGGTGTGGGCCAGGGTAAGGTGACCATGCCCTGCCCTGAGCCATCACCCTTTCCCTGTTCCTGTGGGCAGTGTCCCTGCCTTGGGAAGGGAGTGGACCCCATCCTGTGGGCCCTGGAGGCCAAAGGTTTGACACCTGCCCCTCCCAGGCAAATGCGAGGTCGGGCATGAAAACAGGAACTCGGAGTAATCAACTTGCTGGACGACAGATTTAAAAACAAATCAAGTGTTTCACACCCATTGGACTAACAGAAAATTACAAAGTCTGACGCTACCAAGTGTGGCAAGAATGAGGAACAATGGGGACTTTCATCCATTGCTGGTGGGAATCGGGAAGGCCCAAGTTTAACCTGAAACTTATATAATTTGGGGACCTTCTTTAAAAAGAATAAAAAATGAGTCTGAGTCTTGGAAGGGGCCTGAGCAAGTGGGGGTCCTGAGCTTAATTAAGCTTCATAAGCTTCCCAGTGACTCCGCTCCTGGGCTGTGTAAATTGGAATAACCCTTTTGGACAGCAATGTGGTAGCATCTGGGAAAATGGAGATATGCATTCCCCATGACCCAGCAGGTCAAATCCTCTGTGTGTTCCCTCAAGAAATTCCCAACATGTGACCAAAGAGGCAAATACAAGAATGTTCTTTGGCAATGCTGTCTGCAAAAGCAAAAAGCCACAAATTGGAAAGAGCCAAAATGTCCCTCAACAGAAGATTGGATAAACAGTGTCAACGTGTATAAACCTCAAAAGAACGTTGCATGAAAAGCATGTTGCAGAAGCATACATACAGGATGATACTATTTCCATAAAGTGTGAGGACACATAACAGTGCCGCGTGTAGTTCACAGGCAGTCAGGTGTGCAGGGAAGGTCTGAACCCTGCTTGGGAGTCAGGAACTCACTAACCCAGGGGCGTCCTGAGGATGGAGGGAGGAGAGTAAGACAGCGGAGAATCCAGGGGCTTAGATGCACCTGAAAAGCTTTATTTCCTTGATACTAAAACTGAATAAGGCAAAATATTAAGATTTGACGAAGTTGAGTGATAATTACATGGGTGCCTATTAAAGTATTGTATATACTTTTCTGTAATATTTAAAATATATCTCAATTTGTTTTTTTAAAAATTGAAGTGAAGTTTGGCAAACATAAAACCAACCATTTTAACTTGACCATTTTAATGGTATTTAATACATTCACAATGTTGTGCAACCACCACCTCTATCTAATTCCAAATCATTTTCATCACCCCAAAAGGAAACTCCGTACCCATTAAGCAGTTACTCCCCATTTCCCCCTCCTCTCAGCCACTGGACAACCACCAGTTTTTGTTTGTCTCTCTGGATTTACCTATTCTGGAAATTTTATATAAATAGAACCATACAATATGGACCTCTGTGTCTGGCTTCTTTTACTCAGCACAATGTTTTCAACTTTGTGGTCTGTCTCAGTACTTCATTCCTTCCTACGGCTGAGTAATACTCCACTGTGTGAATATATCACAGTTTGTCCATTCCTCCGTTGATGGGACACTTCGGCTGTTTCCACCTGTTGGTTATCGTGAACAGTGCTGCTATGAACACGCGTGTACATGTACCTATTCAGGTCCCCGCCTTCAATTCTGTAGGTTATAAACCCAGGTGTGGAATTGCTGGGTCATATGATAATTTTTTTGAGGAACCATCAAACTCTTTTCAACAGCAGAAGAACCATTTTACATTCCCACCACCAATGTATGAGGGCCCCAATTTCTCCACACCCTGGTCTGCACTTGCTATTTTCCAGTTTTTTGATAAGAGTCATCCTAGTTTTGTGTGAAAGGGTACCTCATTGTGGTTTTGATTTCATTTTCCTAACGACTAATGTTGATGATCTTTTTGATGTTGAGTTTCTTTTCATGTGCTTATTGGCCATCTGTATATTTTCTTTGGAGAAATGTCTATTCAAGTCCTTTGCCCATTTTCTAACTGGCTTGTTTATCTTTTTGTTGTTGTGTTATTATAGTCCATAATTTAAAAAAACTCTCCCAGGGTGGCCAGTGCCTCCTCGGGCCCTTCAAGTCTCTGTTCTTTTACCCACCAAAGCACATCCAGCTTCCCATGTACAATCTGTGCAGAGGAAAACTTAAAGGAATGGTGTCTGCTTTTTTTCCTGTTCTCCCAGGCATCCCGGGACCCATCCCCAATCTAGAGAGGAAGAAAGAGTTTGGAGGTGACAACTGAGGTGTCCAGCATCTCTCAGGAAGTAGGAGGGAGAAGGTCTGCGTCTAGAGAGAGGAGCTGAGGGGGAGGAGTAAAAACAACTTCTATGACAGCTGAGAGCAAAGTGGTCTGGGCAAGGGAGAACTATTTCTTGTAGAAGCCTCTACTATTACAGGTCACAAAACCGCCCTGGAGGAGTAAACTTCCACTACTCCATGGCTCTGAGATTTCCCACACCCCTGCTCTCTCCTTTCACTTGGTAGGATGGGGGGGATCCTTCCATCCCCTCCCCCACAGATCACCCTGCCTGGCTGGGCTGTTCCTACCCCCAAGAGCACTCCTTCCCCTAGGCTGGGATGCCAAGAGGAGTCAGCGGGCACTGGGAGGCTGTCCCCTCTGTGAAGCCAGTACCCCCACACCTGCTGCCACCTGAGGCAGCTCTTGTGAGGGCAGGAGAAGGAGGTGCACCTGAGTCTTTTGCATGAAGCCCTGCTAACGCCCTCTCTCGTGATTCTTGTCACAATGCTCCCTGAACAGCTACAAAGGCAAAGGAAGCCACTCATTAGGGCAACTGAAGAGACACTAGGAAGACTTCTTGTTGCTTCAAAATCTCTCTGCCCCATCACACCTCACCATCAGCCATCATCTCTTTTGGTCATGAAACTCTGCCTTTGTAAATACAGTGGCCTCTGAAGGAACACCCACTACTTACTCCCGGGTCATGCGCACTGTGTGCTCATCTTCAGAAATCAGCCTTGGACAAGCACAGGCCAAATGCTGAATAGATGCACCCAGAGGAGCCATTTGGGGAAAGAATGTTCCAGTGGGTGCAAGACCCTCCCCACTCTGGGCCTGACTGTCCCTATCCAGAAATGGTGGTAGTGGTGTCCAGGGTTTCTTCTAGATGTCACTCCTTGATTCTGGCTAGCCCCAGGACTTAAAGTCACTATGGGTACATGCAGGTGTGAGCTCAACTCAACTCTCACAAATGCAGTCATTTGGTGCCACCCCACAACCTCGGTCCCTTAGCCCTTTCCCCAAACCGTCCATGGATGACAGAACCTACTCCTTTGCTGTTCACACCCTCCGCCTCCAGTCAGGCCATAAGAAGCTGGGGTCCCTTTTTAAACAGTCAGGTTTGGACAAGCTCTTTTCCAGCCAACTCTTCTGTGGGATGCAGGGAAGGGAGGCGCAGGAAAGGAGTCTCTGCAGCTGCAAGGCTCTGCACCCACAGTATACACACAGCACATCCTTTCCCAGCTGAGGGCCTGTGGCCCCTGGGGAGTTTATGCTGAGGGTGGTCTGAAGTGTGGAGACACAGTGAGCACTTTACCGGGAGCCCAGGGTAGGAAGCGCTTTCCCGCTGCCACCTGCACTGCTGTGTGGCTCCAGCCTGAGGAGGGACCAATGTCAGGTACGGAGGCCTTCCCACTTCTCAAGCTCAGCCAAGGCAGAGGACAGCTCTCACCAGCCCCCTCCCTCCCCTCACTCCACACACAGGGCGGAATGACTGTGGTGCAGCAAATGGTGGCCTGTTTTATTATTTTTCCAGATCAAAGTTGTTGCAAATACGTTGTCTCGCCAGAAACTTGCAATGGTCAGAAGAGAATCATCTGGATTCAGCTCCTCCTACACCAACCCAATCCCCAAACCTTGGTTGGTGATGCTCAGGTTTCTTTTGCTGATTTTTGTAAACGAAATCCTAACCCTGGAGAGAGCTGGGCGCCTCTACAAGAACGTCGCTCTCCAATAAGGGCTTCCTCTGCGCGGCCCTTGTGAACCGGGTGGGGAGCGCAGCTTCGGAACCAGCGTGACGAATGGACCCTGGCCCGCTTCCAACATCTGCCCCATGCTGCGACCCTGGTTTTTCCTCCGAAGTCCTGGAGACTGTTTCCCCCATTGTAGTTGGTCTAGAAGGGGCCCAAACGGCTGGGGTGGAGGGAGACTTTCCTTATCCTGGCCCCGCTATCCCGATGCTCCCCGGACCCCACAACTTGTGGATCTGGTCCAGTCGGCTGTGCGGAGCCCCCACTACAGCGCGCGGCACAGCCCATCACGCCCCCTCCCCGGCTCCGGCGCCAGCTACTCACAAACTCGAAGATGAACAGCAAGTCGGGGAAGGTGGTGAAGACAGCGAAGCCGCTGGGCAGGGTGCTGCCACTCGATGCCGCTGTGGGGGCCATGCCGGCGTGCTGGCGTCGGCCTGGGGACAGGACGCGCGGCTCGGCTCCCGGCTGACCTCTCGCTTGCTCGGTGGAGCCCAGTGGCCCCGGCGCCCGCTGGCGTGCGGGTTAAGAGCGGAGGCGCCCGGGGCGCAGGAGGGAGGAGCCCGGGACACCGCCCGCCCCGCCCCGCCCCGTCAGAGCTGGCCGTGCGCGCCCCAAGGGACCCGGCCAGAGTGCCTAGGGCGCCGCCCTGAACCACCCTGAGGGCGCCCAGCGGGCGTGCCGGGCTGGGGACGGGGACCTGACTCCTGCGTCCCACCTCCGGGTGCCATCTCCCGTGGGGAGCAGGAAAAAGACACTTTGACGAAGCGTGTCGCACGCTTTGAACTCTTCGCAGGGGATCACCATCCCTTAAAAACGATAACCATCAGTAACTAGGCTCTCCAAACTCCCCACCCTGTCAATCCTCAGGTCACCATTGCTGTAGCTATTCTTAGGTTGCGTCTTCATCTTTCCACTGGGTGGGTTAATATATGTGACCTCCGCATTCAGGCTCACGGTGGGACGAGGTCCTACTTCTGCCCGCAGCTGCAGGCTGGGGTTTGCAGGGGCGGCGTTGAGACCACCTCTGACCACCACCCCTTCTCCCCGCGCCTTTGGAGTCCGGCGCCAGGAACCCTGCACCCAGGGTCCGCTCCACTGCGTGCTGGAGCTTCCAGTTTGTCTGTTTGAGGGTAGGAGGTTTCTCTCGGCCCTGTCAGCCCCAGAGGAGGGGTGGTGGTGGTGCTGGGGCAGATCTGCATGGAAGCCAAGAGACAGGAAGGGCCCTCCTTGAGCAGATCTATGCCCTCTCTCAGAGGGGCAGCTCTGCGCCTCTGCGGTGCACGACTCCTCCTCCCCATGTCCTATGACTACCTGTTGCTGCTGGATTTTTGTTTTCTGGACCATGATTTCTTTATTCTTTTTTTAAAATCATTTTATTGAGGTCATGTTGGTTTATAACATTGCATAATTCCAGATGTACATTATTATGTAACAGTTTCTGTGTAGACTGCATTGTGCTCACCACCAATAGTCTAGTTTTCATCTGTCACCATACATATGTGGCCCTTTACCCTATTCGCCCTCCATTTACCCCTTCCCCTCTGGTAACCCCTAATCTGTTCTCCTTATCTATGTGTTTGTTTATCTGCACGTATGAGTGAAGTCGTGCAGTATTTGTCTTTCTCTCTCTGAGTTATTTCACTTAGCATTATACCCTCAAAGTCCATCCATGTTGTTGATTTTGTCTTTTTTATGGCTGAGTAGTATTCCATTGTGTGTATATACCACATCTTTATCCAATCATCCATTGTCAGGCACTTGGGTTGCTTCCACATCTTGGCTATTGTGAATAATGCTGTGATGAACATACGGGTGCATATATCTTTTTGAATTAGTGTTTTCGTGTTCTTTGGATAAATACCCAGTAGTGGAATAGCTGTATCATATGGTATATCTATTTTTAATTTTTTGAGAAATCTCCATACTGTTTTCCAAAGTGGCTGCACCAGTTTGCAGTCCCACCAGCACTACATAAGGATTCCCTTTTCTCCACATCTGCTCCAACATTTATTTCTTGTCTTGTTAATTATAGCCAATCTCATGGGTGTGAGGTGGTATCTCATTGTAGTTTTGATTTGCATTTTCCTAATTAATTAGTGATGTTGAACATCTTTTCATATGCCTGTTGGCCATCTCTATATTTTCTTTGGAAAAATGACTGTTCATATCCTCTGCCTATTTTTTGATCAGGATGTTCATTTTTTTGTTGTTGAGTAGTATGTGTTTTTATATATTTTGGAAATTAACCACTTGTCAGATACATGATTTGCAAATATTTTCTCCCAGTTAGTGGGTTGTCTTTTCATTTTGTGGATGCTTTGCATAAGCTCTTTAGTCTGATGTAGTCCCATTTGTTTATTTTTTCTTTTGTTTCCCCTGCCTGAGTAGACATGGTATTCAAAAAGATACTGCTAAAACTGACGTCAAAGAGTGTACTGCCTATGTTTTCTTCTACGAGTTTTATGATTTCAGGTCTTACATTCAAGTCTTGAATACATTTTGAGTCAATTTTGGTGTATGGTGAAAGATAATGATCTACTTTCATTCTTTTGCACATGGCTGTCCGGTTTTCACAACACCATTTATTGAAGAGACTTTCCTTTCTCCATTGTATGTTCTTGGCTCCTTTGTTGAAGATTAGCTGTCCATAGATTTGTGGTATCACACTCCCAGAATTCAAAATATACTACAAAGCTATAGTAATCAAAACAGCACAGTACTGGCAGAAAAACAGACACACAGATCCATGGAACAAAATTGACAGCTCTTTATTCTTTTTTGACTGTATTTTTAACAAGTATCACACTTTGGTAGTTTGCCTGTTTATTTTAATTTACATACTATTACTGAGTTTTCTCTTACAAGTCCTAAAGCTAAAAATTGGCCCACAGTCCAGTGCCTGCCCCCAGGTCAGACTCCCCAGAACTACTGTGGCTTCACCCAAAGCCATAGCGGGGCACAGCCCCCCTCTCTCCATTGGGACCCTCACCTTTTCCCCTCTACACAGCTCTTTTTCCTTCCCAGTCCCTATGGAGAAAAGTAAATTCCTGGACACATTACCAAAAAAAAAAAAAGATCCATGCCCATGAGCTGTCCATTCTGCCCACTTATGGAGAGGGACCAGGCATTTGAAATGAGAAAATCCCACTGCACCTCTGTGAGCCTCTGCGGGGCTGCTGGCCTTGGTGGCCTGAGACCCAGGGAGTCCATCTCCTCCCTCCTCCTGAGGAAACTCTAGTGGGGACGAGCCACAAGCCGTGCTCAAGTAAATCCATCCAAAGCTGTTCGGCAATTTCTGTGTCAGTATTCACTAATTAAAACACACAAAGGTCTTCTCACCTCTTAATAATCTCTTCTCCCGGCCTTGAGGTTTTTTGTTGGTTTGTTTGTTTTTTGATTGGGTTTTCTGCTGTTTCAAACCTGTGTTGCTGAATTCCTCAGGCTGGGCTGTGACTCTGGGGAGAAGGCACAGCCCCTCGGTGTAGCCCGGTGAAGCTAAGCAGCCCCAACCCTCCTGTGAGAAGGCCTAAGAGGGCACACAGGACTTAGGAAGGTCCCTTTCTCTGTGACCCTCATCTCACCTCAATCCTTTGCTCGATGTTCCTCTTCCTGACCACACTCCACCCTCTGCAGGGCAGCCCCACCCCACCCCACCCGCCTGTCTCCTTCCTGCCATATCACGTCCTCGGTGCCCAGCCAAGACCCCAGCCCACGCACGGTGCTCAGTACATATCATCCACTGCCAGGATGGCCTCGGCCTTGACCGCCTGAGGAGGAAGTGGAATGACTCTGTGTGAACGGAGAGTATTGTCAGTAGAGACGGGTCTGTCCTCATGTCACAGAGCTTCCCCAGGGTGCTGTGGGCCACCAGCTGATAATTTAGGTGGTTCATATGTATAGGGAGACCAGGACCACACTTTGGCTTCCAGCAGGATATGAAAACACAACCTGAGCCGATAGTAACTCATTGCAGTGTCCTCGGTCTTCCTAGCTGCATAGTGGGTGTGACTGTAGGGGTCAGTCTGGGGTGGGTCTGGGGCTTCTGTCAAAATAATAACATGGTCTAGGGTGGGTTTCTACAAAGTAGGAACTAGAAAGTGACATTTGCTGTGCCAGCCTGATACTAGAAGAGGTCATCTCCAGTTTGTGTGTTCAGAGGAGAGAATTGGGTGTGGGACAAGGGATTAAGGGAGAGAGACCTGTTCAGGGAAAGATTCCTGGGGCAGGTCTTGCCAGTAAATAATAGTAGGTGTGATTTATTTTGGGGTCTGTAGAATGACTCCCATTTTACTGATGAGGTGATGGAGGCTCAGAAAGGTTGAGTAGCTGCCCAAGGCCACACAGCTGTGAGTGGTGGAGCTCGGCCTTGACCCTGAGTGACGCTGTGCCCCCACAGCTGCGAGCCCTTGATGAAGCCCATGCTTAATGGAGGGATGATGGATAAGGAAGTCGTGGTATATATATACAGTGGAACATTATTCAGCCATAAGAAATGAGAAAATCCAACCATTCCCAACAACATGGATGGACCTTGAAGACATTATGCGAAGTGAAATAAGTCAGGCAGAGAAAGACAAATACTGTATGATCTCCTTTATGTGTAGAATCTAAAGAAACAAAAAACAACCACAAAAAAACCCACCCAACTCATAGAAAAAGAGATCAGACACGTGGTTCCCAGAGGAGGGGGCTGGGGGAAGGGGGGGATTAGAGGAGGGTGGTTACAAGGTACAAACTTCTGGTTATAAGATGAACAAGGACCAGGGACGTAACGTGCAGCAGGGTGACCACAGTGAACACTGCTGGATGAGACACAGGAAAGTTGTTAAGAGAGAAGATCCTGAGAGCTCTCACCACAAGGAGAAGTTTTTTTTCTTTTCTTTTTATTGTATCTATATGAGATGACAGATGTTCACCAAACCTACTGTGGCAATCATTTCACATATATGTAAATCAAACCATCATGCTGTACACTTTAAACTAATATAGTGATGCCTGTCAATTATTTCTCAATAAATCTATGAAAGAATTCAAACAATATAAAAATGAAAAAAACATGCTGAAGATGGACAATTGCAATCAAATGCCATGTTCCGTGCAGACCGTCGGCAGCCCCCCAAATCCAGCCTTCGTGGTCATCTCAAACGTGGCTCTGGGCACTGGATCCCTGAGGCATCTCTGCCCAGCTGACAGGGCTCAGGACCTTTCCTCCCCTGACTGGGGACACAAGGTCGGAGGTCATCATCCGCATTTATGGACGGGGAAGCTGGATGAAGGCCCGAGTTCAGAGAGCTACCCTGGGCCAGCGCTGACCCCGAGGGGTTGTATCTGTTTAACAGTCTCCCGCAGCCCTGGATTTCCACTCCTGGCAGGAAGCAAGGGCACCTGTGGGCCGATGGACTAATGGTGGTCCCAGCTGCCTTGACCCTAGGAGGGCAGAGGGGACACATCACTGCTGAGGGCCTACTAAGTGCCTGGCCCTACCATAG